AGAAAATTAAAGTAAAGCAAATATAAACCAATCATGTAACTTTAGGATTGAATCACAAACCAATAGTTGAAAATAGAGCCATTTTTAACAATTATTTTATGTCATTGACAGTTGTGTATTTTGATTGTGGCTTTGTTGGAATCCCAATATTTGTGTTATAGTTTAAAACTGCTTTTGACATAAAAGTCTATTGTAATTGCCAGTAAACTAGCGTCAGGCAGCTGCAAGGATATAATTCTTATTTATTCATTTTTTTTTCTTGGATAAAGAGTAAGAGACCTGTGAAGTTTGATTCTTTGTTGCTTTTTTTTCCTCATATTAAAGTTTTAGCTTTACCTATACAAGTAAAAATGCAATTTTTGCATAATTCATTACATAATCCTTGTACAACTCTTATTCAATGAATTGGTTGAAACCTAATAGAGATCTTGTTTAAGGTATCTCTATTGGTTTTGGATTCAGAGTTGTTCTCTTAGACTGGCTGCTAATTATAGCTAGAAAGCCCACTCTCCCCTGCTATTTAACCCATGCTTGGGGGAGAAGAAATAAAAGGAGTGGTCTTGATAATTGGAGGAGTGAATTTTTCACAATATACAATATATACTGGCAAGGTGGTGTCAGAAAATCATTTAAGCGTTCAAAAAGTATTAAATTAATAAACAATAAGGCTTTAATAAGCTTGGTAGAGGTAAAAAGAATTAAAAATATACACACACGCACTGAGATTAATTAAGCACCAGTGTAGTGTCTCATTCCTATCAGTTAAGACAATAGTTACCAAGTATTTTTGATTCACTGTATATTTTGTCACAGTCAGAAAACTGTTGTCTTTATATTTCAAAGTTTAAATATCTTCTTTTCCAATATTTTCTCTGTTTTTGGTTTGTCCAATATTGTTGCTTTCACAATGCTTATTAATTTACAAAAAAAAATCTTTTCCATTTCTACAAAGAAAAGTATCACAACCAAAAAAAATATTGAATTTACATAAACCTTTTAATTTATATTTAAGGAAATAATAGTAAGATCATTCCTAACCCTAGTATGAAGGTTCAATCTTCAATAGGGCCGTAGAAAATCTTAAATACGTTCTTGTATTAAGACTAGTATTTGGCACAGCTCTAGAAAAATCTCAAATGTAAACCTTGTCTATTGACATAAGCACCATTTTGTGTTTAAACAGTAAAGTTCACAAAAAGATGGACTTAGCAATTTGCGATGTGCTAGTTAGGGGTTAACTTTCTATCAATGTGTGACTGTGTGTCAGCATATTTGAATTATTAAAAAAAAATGATTTGAATATCACACTAAGCCCTTCAGTGTTAATTGTGGTAACCTGGGGAGCTGGACTGTATGCTTTGGTAATCACAGAGTTATGAGATAAATAGTTGTACACAACTTTTGACTTGTAGCTGGCACAAAGGTTATCAAGGAGGTGGGGGGGTATTTCGGCTGTATGTTGAAATTTCTGAAAAATGTCCAAATTAAGGATTAAAAAGTGGTCAATCCTAAAAATTATTTCCAGCATATTTTAAGTTTTGTTTGCACTTGGCTTTACAATTTGAATAATAAGGATAATGAAACACACTTGGAATCACTTTAGCAGAACTACACACCTTCCTACACACACACACACACACACACACACACACACACACACACACACACACACACGTGTGTGTGTGTGTGTGTGTGTATAATCAATTCACCTCATGCAAGGGGCTATTGAAAGTGAAAGAAAAGGAACTCGAAACCTAATCTTGAGAAATCTAATCTTGAACAAGGGATAAACCTATACTCCTGTTCAAAAGACTGGGAAGGACTATGAACCAGATGATTAGTGGTTGGCAAAGTTCATCCTTCTACAAAGTATGCAGCTAAGTGCTCAGAACAATGAAGAAGGAAATTACTGGAAAGTAATTGAAACTCACCTGAAGCGAGCTGAATGTGTAATGCTCCTCATGCCAATGACACTTCCACCGAGCTTCTCTACGGCATATGACTTCACTGAATTTTGATGTGTTCCTCCCGAATTTATATTTAAACTGGGGTCATCAGGAGAGAATGTGCACCGTTTCGGGACAATATAAAACTTATAAAACATGAAAAGAATAGTACCCATGCAACTTGAGTTTCAGCCTTTTCAATGAGGGGTCATTGGATCAGATTATGCTTTTACATGCCTTTTTTTTTTTTTTTTTTTTTTTTTTTTTTTTTTTTAAGTACAGCCCAGCCTGATGATCCCCCATTGAAAAGGCTGAAACTTTTATAGTATAGGCACTGTTCTTTTTACATTTTATACTGTGTCTATGTTTATTTTTATTATTGTTTATTATTTTTTTATAACTTGATCAATTGCTTTTCAGTGATTTTAGTTAACAGCTAACATGTTTCATCCACACCAAACAGTTAATTTGGGGCTAATGACAGTCTTTTCAATTCTTTTTATGTGCTGATCATCAATGAAGTACTTCCTGCCTGCTTACTACTAGTACTATCACCATTATTCTGATTATAAAGTACTTATCAATTCTCACAACCTGCCTCCAGTATTACATCAAGGTTTGGGCTAAAATATAATGTACTAACTCTTGTCGTGTTTGTGCAGATGATCTTAACTGTTGAAGAATAATGTCTATTAGAAACCTGGGTGATATAACTGACTAGTTAGCTCTAAAAGGTTGCCCTCTTGACTGATTTTGTTAAAAAAAAATGTTTCTACTGCCATAGAGACTTTGCATTAACCTCTCTGATCCCTGTGATCAGTCTTGAACTTGTAATCTCTGACCAGGTTAATAAGACAGCATAAAGAAAAGGGTGTCTTTTAAAGGGGAAAGTATTCTAGGATGGCTAGGGGAAAAAAAAGATCATTTTTGAAAGAATATTTGCAAAAATTAGTTGTAATCAGTTTGATACTCTGTACAATAAAATCTATTTCAATAAGAAAAATTGAACTAATTCTTTTGTGAAATATTACAATTGGAGCAGATTTTCATGGTTGTAAATATATTTTATATATTTGTAAATGCTTGTGAAGGAACACAAATACAAAAAAGGATAGCAAAAGAAGTTAAAAATCTATGAGCGTTATAGAAAGAAGATTGTTGATTTAATAGGAAAAGATATCTCTGATTGATTGACTAAAAATCATAAAAAAAAGCAACACTCCCTCTTATCAACAAGCAAAAATGAATGGTCTTGTTATTTTATATTTATAGCCTTGAAAATTTTTTTTATTTCTTTTTTTTTGTTGGTAAGTATTAATATTACATAATTTGAACAAACATATTTTGTAATCTGTAAGCATATATATATATATATATATATACAAACACACACACACGCAGAGGGTGACTGAAAAGTAACTCCATATTTTATGTATAATAAATTTTCCCATCTAACATAAAATATGGAATTAATTTTCAATCACTCTGTGTGTGTGTGTATGTATGTATATATATATAAAATGTGTATCAAAAAGTGTGGATGGTCCTGCATGAGGCCTTATAATCACTATAATCAAATCTTATGTGCTGGTGTTGGGCTGTCGGTTTCCTGGAAACTGAACTGTTTGACCCTCATACGTCGAATCTTGACGGGGAGAGTCGATTTTTTATATATATATATATATATATATATATATATATATACATACATACATACAGTGTAACCCGGATATAAGAGAGATTTTCTCTGGTCCCAAATTAGAGCCCATACTTACCTAAACAAAATAGACCAAACCCAGATGTAAGAGACTTCTTCTCCGGTCCCGACAACTCTCTTATATCCATGTTACACTGTGTGTGTGTGTGTATATATATATATAAGCAAATATATAGATATAGATCCGACAGTATGAAGAAAAATATATACGGAAAAAACAAACAAAAATTCTTATATACAATTATGCTGTTTTAATGTTAATATGTCAAAATACTCAAATTTTAGGAATACGTTTTCACAGCGTCGCCCACGTGACGACGTGACCATGTTTTAAACAGAGCGCTGATCTTATAAAACTTTCAGTTATCTGTTTGGATAAGTCTTGTTCTTATGTACATCGTCTTTGTCATGTTGTATTGATAATGTTATAATTTATGAATATGTCCTGAAGATGGTTTATTAGACCGAAACGTCCGACATTGACATATTAACATTAAAACAGCATAATTGTATATAAGGATTTTGTTTGTTTTTTCCGTATATATTTTCTTCATATATATATATATATATATATATATATATATATATATATATATATATGATGTTCATGTTTTATTAAATAATATAGGCAAGTTTTGTCTATTTATTTTAAGTAAGTTCCTTTAATATTGTCTTATAAGCTTAATAACATTATCATTGAAGGACGAAAGGAAATCACCATATTGATGCATGTTTAAATACAATCTAAGCTTTCGGCTTACATAAGCCATTATCAAAGATGACAATTACTTTTCAATATATCGACCAATACACGGAACAATAATGATAGTCTGTTTTTGTTGCATGAAAAATTTCAAAGCAATGACTATCTAGTGTATACGAGACGTGGAAGTGAAAATCGCGTCACAGCTCGTGACATCACACATGACTACGTGACAGTGAAAACGAGAAGTATTAAGTATGGGAAGCCATTGGTATAAACCAGTGGCTTCTGTTATCAATTATAGGATTTTCGCTTTCAGTGTCTCGCATACACGAGTCCAGCATGAAACAGCCTGTTGCCTCTAAGTGTTGATTTCAATGTTCACGTTTATATTTACACATGCTCTATCTCTGATATTGAGCACTTTATCCCATAAATATAGCACACCTTAAGAGTATATTTCTTTATACACGCACACACACACACACACACACATCCATTCTTTTTCTTCAGTCTGTCAGGTTTGTGTTCTTTTTCTATTTTGAATATATAAACATATTTTCTATGAAACTTGAAAATGTTTGAATATGTTTCCGTTTTGTATTAACCCATATTTGCCCTAATCCCTTTACAGCTGGAAGGATGGTCTGGCATTCTGTGCTCTGATCCACAGACATCGTCCAGAACTACTGGATTATTACAAACTGACTCGGGTAAATCAATCACCACTCATACACACGGGTTTCTCTGTTCTACAGCCCTGCCTTTGTTGTTGTTACCTTCAATGTTGTCTTACTGGTTCACTTTTATAACATCTTTCTTTTGTTTTTATTTCTTGCTGTCTCTCACAAACCAAATCAAGCCTCCAATAACCAATTCTCCCATCCTTTTTCATTGTCTGCTTTTTATTTTTATTATTATTGTTACTTGAATATTGGCAACAGCTTCTATTTCAACTAAGGACAGGGACACTCCCCACTTCACCTGGACTCCAAATAGCATTGGTCACTTTCTCTCTCTCCCTCCCCACTGTGCTCACTCACACACACTCTCTCATGACAAGCAAGATTCTCACAGATTGCAAAAAGTCTAATCGTTATATTTACAAGCATTACAAGTAATGGGCTTTTTTTTTTTTTTTAGGAAGCCTTTATTTTTTCTCCCTTCCAGTATCAATTAGATGAATTCAAATTTTAAGAAAAAAGATACTTAAAGATATTAAAATAGTTGTAATTGTTAATTTTCACATTGCTTATATTGATCTTGCGATATATATATATATATATATATATATATATATATATATATATATATCTCTTGAGATTTTTTTCTTTAGCATTATTGTAATGTAATTTAAAAAGAAAATTTTTATCTGATTTTGAGATATTCATCCACAAATAAGATTTCTTTGGTGGTTTTACTTTGGGCGCTTTTACCAAACAAATGAATGTGGATTATTTATACTATTTACATGTGGACTATTGTCCTCATTTTTGTTATCACAATGTTTCAGCCATTGTGTCTTCCAACTTTCTTCAGATGTATGTTGATCCAAACTAAAATCCTGTATTTAATCAATGGGGTAGATTTTTCTCATTCCACTGCCCATGTCTATGAACATCTCATCCAGTTCTTATTCTTAGTACTGTTCAGTTATTGCAGAGGACACAATAGGATGAGGACAATAGGCTGCATGTAAATAGTGTAAATAATAACTCCTCAGGCCAGAAATTCAGAACTAACCTTTATAAATCATTACTTCAAATCAATTCTCATTTGTAAAGAAACAAAAACAAAAAAACTAAGTGATGAAATCTGTAATGACTTTTTGTAATCTGATAAAATCTTGGTTACATGGATTTTTGGTGAACTTGGCATTTACTACTACTACTACTGCCTCCCATCCCTTCCCATCTCTGATTTTTTTTTTTTTTTCTGGGAATGCTAACCACTTGTTTGCTGTTGTATTCTTTGCATGCACTGTACATTTCTTTGTTCTCTACAGCTTTAAAGATGGATTGGCCTTCTGTGCACTGATCCATAGGCACCGCCCGGATTTAATAGACTTCCACAAATTGTCAAAGGTGAGTTCAGTCTAGAGTAGCTGTTTAATAGCACCGTCTGCCACCTGGTGCCAACCAGTTAGAAGAATGGTAGTTATCATCTCCACATTTGTAGAAAAGAACACTTGGCCTGGATCCTTTGTAGAATTTTGGTAGAGATCCCTGTTGATGAACACAAATGGTAAAAATGCAACAATTTGTTATCTATTCTCCTTCAGGGAGAAATTACAAAAATTGTTTTGAATCTTGGAATTATAGGCTAATTTTAGAGTTTCAAATCAAATGGGTGAAACTAAATTTATGGAATTTTGGTTTGAGCAAGTTTCAGAAATTAGTTTGGCTTGTGCTCTCTTGAAAGATTTCTTTTTTTAGCTTACATGATAGTTTTGCAGAATCTTGAAATCTTTAGCTTTATTTTTTTTAAAAAATTTTTTTAAATAAAAAAGCTTCAATAATTCTTGTCAATAGTAAAATCTTTGAAACCTGTGCTTGGCTCTGCACAAGTCTTATTTCTAAATGCACCCCACAACCAAACTTAATAGATTTTTATACTGTTCTACTGACTCAATAACTGGACTGAATCAAATTGTCCTCTAAAAGAAAGCTATTGGGGCTTTCTTCAGTTTGATGCACATCACAACACAGTTTCTATTCTGTGACAGGAAATTTGTGTAGAAGTCAGCAAGTTCTCTTTAGTCTCTGGTCTGAATGGGCATACCCTGCCAAATCTCTGAAATATTTCATTGATTTTATCCAACTGCAACCACATTTTACAAATGCTTCTCTCTCTCTCATATCCAGTTGTGCCAGTATTTCACAAAGCAGCCAAACCCTCATTCTCTCTATCTACTTTAAACAGGCTTTGGGTATAAATTCTTTTTCTTTCATTCACAACAAGCCTTTGTTAACCACTAAAGGCTGATTGATCAAGCCAGGGTGGTTGTGATGAATTTTCAAGATGGAACTTCTTGGTCTGCCCCTTATCACCTTTTAAACAGTATTTTTTGCTGCTGAATTATGTAGGCTTTCAAATAAGTGTTTCTTGGTTTGTTAAACCAGTAATTTTGAATGCTTCACTGCTTGGTCTGAAAAGGGCACATATATGCAAAATAAAAAAAAAATCTGTTATGGCTTTGTACAAAAAATATTGTTTTAGGTAATACTGGAAAAATGTGATCTGCCCTGATAATTTATGTAAGATGAATGATAAATAATATCAGTTTAATTTTCTTTTTACAAATGCACTATACAAGGCTTTATTTGATGATAATACTGATAGCATAAAATACACACTAAGTAAATGAAACCAGCTGTATAAAATCTCATTAATCTACAGGATAAAGTAGGTGTTAAAATAATAAAAATGATTACAGCGAATAAAACCATCTATCTTTTAATACTCAAGAGATAGTCATTCACATTACAACTTTTATAAATCTATCATTTATTTCTTTTTACATAATCTGTACGTTAAATCATATTCAAGATGTTTCAGGCTTACTGCCACATTATGATGTTGAAACACCTGTTCTTGTACGATCATCACAGTTGAGCAATGTCAAGCCCAGTCACTAATGCTTGGGAATACCAGGTGTTGAAAGCTTGGATGTGTGAGTGGTGTAGTGGATAATGGCTTGGAATTGTTAATTGGAAATCTGAGTTCCAGTTCCTATTGGATTCATTATATTCATTTACGTGCAAATACCCTCAGGAAAGCTATAAATCAACCTCTTCCTCCCCATCTATGTGTTAATTCGTTAAATTTGTATCACTAAACAATTATCTCCAAAAAATAAAACAAAATTGCATAAAAAATATTTAGATTTTAGCATTAAATAACCCATAGAGGTTGATATGCTCTTAAACAAAAACAACCAATCATAATGTTTTGATTGCTGTTGCCTCTGGCTTTCATATAGTCGGGGTAAATAATGCTAACTCCTTATCCCAGAAAATGAGAATGCATTTAAAAATTGTATACAATTTGCTTTTATTATATTATCTGCAGCAGCTTCTGCTGAAAATCAATTTTAAAATTTAATGATTTCTATACATGCAAATAAAACCTTTATCTGTCTCTCATTACCAATAGTTGGGCAGGTGAGTGGAGGTAATTTCTCTTCTATTATGGGTAAAGTGGTTACACCTGATGATGCTAAACAAATCTTGTTTCAGTAATATCCAACTGAATCACTGTATAACTAATGTTATTTCACACAGACATCACAAAGTATTTATCATTTTATTTTTTATAGTAATTAAAATTTAATGCTTCTTTATCATTTGTATGTTTTAGATTAGCTTGAATATGGTCTAAGGAAAGTAACTCATTTTGCAACATGGAAACTTTTGAGCTTTCCTTGTTTCAGTTTGTTAATCATACATTAAGTAGTTTTTTTTTTTTTCTTCTTCCCTATTGGTAAACTACAAGGATCCACGGCCATTAGATATAGTCATTCTAATCATCATTCTAGATTTACCATTGATTGTTTCATATTGCTTGGCACCAACCTCCCTGATATTCTTGTGAGTAGAGTTTGCAATCAACTACATAGACAGTATCAGCATCTAAGTAACTTTCCTCTGTCTTTCTATCCAGCAGTTCTCATGATTACATTTAAAATTGCTTCATCTATACATGACTCTATTGTCACACATTGACTTTTGTTTAGAACATATTTTTTCGCATCTCTGAGCTTTTTTTTTTTTTTGTTATATTGAAATGCTTTTTTAATCTATCATTTGACCATTTACCCAAGAACAACACAATGTAATCATTTGGGCTTTGTAAAAATTCTCTGAATCATTTAGCATTTTTACTTTATAATCTGGTCATAAAACTTTAGTTGGGATCATCGAGTCAATGCGAATGAGTCTTTGCTTGGCTACATAGTACATGCTTTGCCAGGACCACATACAGTTTTGTATTCAGTATTCCTTCTAGATTGTTTTTCTGCACAAGGCTATAGAACCCTGTCTTTCCTGTTACTTACCTATAGCTATATTTCTAGCCTATCTCAAAGATATGCAGGTGAATTTCAATAAATGTGAGAAATGTTCATCTGTCTGCGTTTCTTTGAACAAGTAATTCTATTTTGGTAACATGCTACTTGTTTATATTGAATACAAAAACAATGCAGGTCAGAATGAGTTCCCAACTAGCTAGCTATGCATATGACACAACTATTTACTCCTGTCTTAGTAGCAACTCTCACAGATTTGAAATCTATCTTCCGGAATAATATTCCTTTATTGTCCTTTTCTCACTTCTCTCACTAAGTCTAAAGTCTTCTCATTCTCTTTCACTCCCTGTAACCCAGAGCATTCTAGTGGCATTAGCACCTTGTTTGGGGATGAAATGATAAAAAAAAAGGAAAAAAAAAGAAAGCATTTTGGGAACAAGACATTTTAATTTGTTTTAGTTTTTTTTTTTTTTTAAAACAACATTTATATCTTAAAATCATCTTGACAATTTGTCACAAAGCAAGTTTGATTCTGTCTCAAAACTTTGAAACTAATATATATATATATATATATATATATATATATATATATATCTATATATTCCTTTGTGAACGTCTACAAATGGACAGTTTTCTTCATCATTCATGCAAATGGAAATAATTACGATTTACCCTGTATTAATTATAGCTATGTAGGATAGTGAGAGAATGCCTTCATTCAGTATTTAGCAACAGAAGTTGAACTCTTCCTTTTGGACACTCATTGATTATTTGTTCTGGTAATTTGTGAATCGAGATTTTAATCTGATTTTCTGTTGACATTTGGTCTGGCCATTTGTGTATAATCAATTTAGACAAGACATTAACAAGGTCACTTGATATCCAAAGTAACAATTATCTGATATATATTCAGTTACTAGTTTCTACATATATGCTATGACATTATTAGAAGATTCACAACATGTCTTGAGGTGTCAACTGATTGGTCAGCTTGCTTGAACAGCAATTAAACAGTTGTAAGCTCTGCTTTTAATGATGGACATTGTTTGGCTTAACTGACACATAATTTGCTGGACAGCACATGTTTGTTTGTTTGTGTGTGTGTATATATATATATATATATATATATATATATATATACACACACACACATATATATATATATATATATATATATATATATATATATATATATAATGTGCACCCATGCATACATAAAAATAGCATTTTTTATTTATTTACCTATCAGTAGACTTTTGCGCTTGTCATTTTTTCAAAATGGGTGCTCATTTATTTTGAACACTTCCAAGACCTATTCTTTTCATGTTTTCCAGAAGGAATGTGCTGGCAGTTCAAAAGAATTTCATTCTTTTTGCTTGTTAATATTTTTTAAAATTCTATTATTTGCAAAAATAACTAAAAAAAAACTGACATTCTATGAAACTGTTAGCACACTGATATATTCCTTTTTGAAAACATGAAAAGACCACTAGGTCTTGGGAGCATTCAAAATAAAGCAGTGCTCATTTTGAAAAATTGCTAAGCATAAAACAAGCTGTTTGTGTGTAAATAAATATAAAACAATGTTTGTTTTATGTGCATTGAAAATTTCTTTTAAATGTATTTAAAATGGAACACTTGTATACATACACACAGAACTAATGTTGAGAAATGACTGTACAAGTCCATAGAAAGAGTTTCTTCTATTCTGTTTTTCAGCTTACCTTGCAAGCCATTATTAGCAAGTTCAGTTCTTACTTTGTGTTTCACTTGTGCCAAACTCAGTAAATATCAATGAGACTGCAAAGTTTTGTAGGTGAAAAGCCTACATGTATATGGTAAATACTTGTAAATATTTGGATATTTGTCTTACAAGAGTAGCAGTAAAAAGATTTCATTTTAATCCATAGTCTTATTACCGTTTGGTACTTGAATTACCTAAAAATATTAATTTAAAACTAGATCAGTAAGAAGGTCTGTTGTGCATAAAATCCTGTTTGCACATGTCTATGCACCTCTTTTGATGTGTATGTGTGTACACAGCTAATGTATAATTCATAATTTATAGTTATACACTTGATCATGTTTCTCACAAACACCTTATGGCATCTTGGCCTATTGCCATAGACGATGTTAATTTCAAAAGTTATTTCTAACAAGTTTCATTCTCACTAAATGCTTTAGGCTTATGGCCATATCACATTGAAACATCAGTTCTTGAATGATTACCAAAATTAAGCAATGTCATGCCTGGTCAGTACCTATAAGGGTGACCACTTGAGGATACCAGGTACTGTAAGCTTGAATGTGTGGGTGGTGTAATGGATAACGACTCAGAATTGGAAATCAGAGAACTGAATTCCAATTCCAGTTGGGTTTCTGATATTTACTTATGTGCAAATACCCTTGGAAAGTTAAAAAAATCTCCTCTTCTCCCCCAGCAATATTTTCTGGCTTTAAATAACCCACAAAAGGTTGATAAGCTGTAAAAACAAATTGATCAATCACTCCCTGAGTGCATTAACCCATTTCCAACTTTAATTGATGCACTTGATATCTGAATCTGCATTTGAATTTTATTGGCCTTCTATTATCTTTTCCTGATGGTCATAAAATGTTTTTCTGCTCAGAGATATATATCTGTCATGTGTTATGAATGACAATGGACATACAAACCATATCCTGATATTACCTTTTTAAAATATTAACAGATAAAGTAGATTGCCTACTTGCTCAGTCACCACCTTTTCAGAGGTCCAATTACTCTCAAATCCAATTGTTTTATACTACTGTGGTTATTTTCATCTGGCTACACTCATCATTCTACTAAAAAGCTATTCCAATTTCAATCAAACTTATTCCAATTTGTAACCAAATATGGAATATTTTTAATTCTTCCCCATCCACCTCGTATTTTGATTAATTTCCTGATTTTTTTATTGTCAGTAATTAGCACTACAGTCAATCAAAATAACCTGCCATCTTGCTCTACTCTACAAGTTTCTTTTGCAACTGTACCAATGCAAACTAAATGGTGAAGGTATTGAAAAAAAACAAAATAATTTGATTCTATTTAACATATCTAAATTATCATCTATGTAAACTAAGGGAAATTTGGCAGATAAGACAAAGATATCCAGCAAATTTTATTTCAAATTTTCATATATTAAATTTTTGCATTTGGGGGTGGAAAAACATTAAGAAAATGTTGTTTTCAATTTAATCACAACAAATAAGCAATGCACAGCTGGTATTTAAAAAAAAAATTATCATGTCCCTGTAGACAATCACAGGTTACCACAGATTCTTTTATTTATTATCTGTGAATTTAGCATGCATTCTTAAGATAGGGGAGTGGTTTTCCCATTGACTTATCCATGGTTTGAAATTCATTTTTTTTTTTTTTTAATTAGACTTTCTCAGCCAAGACTAGAATCTCGTCTACCCTACTGTTTAACCCCTAGATCGTGGGAGAAGAGATAGATTGAAGGGTATTTGTTCAAAAGTGAGTGCACCAGACTAACTTTGAACTTAAACTTGGTGTGCAGATTTCATTTTCTGTGCTGATATCCTTTACACTATTTGCATTGAGTTTAGCATAGTAAATGTTTTCTTCTGAAAACATCTTTGTTCATACTAATTGTTGTAGCATATCTACGAACAATAATGGGTATGTCCCCATTCACATATTTACAGTAGTAAATACTGTACGTTGGTCTGCAGTTAGAGATTGTAGAATTCACTTGACTCACTTCTAGCAGTTGACTACTTCTTTTATGCACTGCTGTCGAATCTTATATGTGTTGTTCTTGTCCTAAGTATTGTCGTTCATTACCAATTTTTGTGTGATTATTCTATTCAGTAACCTTTCTTAGGTTACAGCACTAATAAAATTTGAATCTGTACAATATATTGTAAAGGTTCAAATACTTAAAAATGGTCAATGAATGACTTAAATGACAGAGATCAAAGTTTTTTTTTTTTATCAAACATCATATTTAACTTCCTGGAGCTTTGCTATAAAATACCAATCATTTGATATTTGCTTAAATACTAGTCTTAGCTTACTTATTAGAGATGACTTTTATTTCTTATCTATTCAGAAAAAAAAGATGTATAAAAGCAATCTTTGCTATTTTTATATTAGTCTTGAGTATTTTTGTATCCTGCAGATTGTGTTGTAGATTTTTGTTTTGACTTTCGTTTTTTATAGTCATCCAGCCATTAGTCGTTAGTCATTCCTCCTGCACAAAAATAAGATGTGGCCTCAATGAAGACACATGTAGTGGTGCATGTTCATTATTAAAGCAGATAAAAGTAGCTACTAGTTTCATGTAGTCAGTGACTTCTATTTGCCAACAGAATTCAGCCACCATCGTGCATTGTGCTTTGAAACTTAACACTTTTCTTTTATGAGGTGTGGTGCTGAAAAGTTTTTGGCCAGATCCAGGACCCCTCCCCCTCCTGCCCCAATTTCTCTGTCACTGCCTTTGATATTTGATCAGATTTAGGGGAGTGGATTGGGCCAAGAACTCCTCAGCCTCCTCGCATGTGCTAAAATATTACTTTTTATATTTTTTCTTTTTGTTTCAATTGTTTTGAATTTTCATTTGTCTTTTTGTTGTTTTTCTTTTTTTTTTTCTTTTTTTTTCTTTTTTTTTTCTATCCACCCACAAGGCTCCTTTGTGACATTTTGGATATTTCAATTTGTTGCTCATTTAAATGTACAAAACCAAAATCTCAAAGTTTTGCATACACACTTCAAGGTTCTGAGATAGTGGGAATTACTCAGTGTGTGGAGGAAGGGGGGGCATTTTTCTTACAGCAGAATGTGCTGAAGTAGAATACCTCAATACGACAAATCTTGGTTCCTCTAAGTGGTTCTTTCTTTTAAAAGGGGCACACCATGAGACATTACATATATTTGATTCTGTTCTTGCACTGTTGGTCCAACCAAATAACCCTGACATGTAACTTTAATTTGGCCAAAATCCATGGTTTTTAGTGCATGATTAGCCAATACCAATATCAAAATATGTAGTGTTAGAAATTCTGATAAGAGGTATTGTCATAATTTGATAAGGTTTTATGGCCACATCAAGTTGAAATACTGGTTCTCATACGCTCACTGAAGTTAAGCAATGTCATGCCTGAGTAGTACCTAGATGGGTGACTGCTTGGGAATACCAGATGCTGTAAACTTTGTGTGTGGAGTAATGGATAATGGCTCGTAATTTTTAATTGGAGAGTTGAATTTCAATTCCCATGTTGGGTTTGTTATATTCACTTATGGGCAACTACCCGTGGCAAATGTATGAATCCACCTCTATAGGTTAGTTTGTAAGACTTGTATCACTAAATCATTATGTCAAAAAAAAATTCTTACAAACTAAAAATATTTTCTGACTTTAAATCACCTGCAATAGGTTGAGCCATAGAAAATGAATGAATCATTAATTTAATAAATTAAGTTAGTAACCTCATCTTTTATCGTTTTTGTCCCTGTGTACCAGCCTGTGGATTCTTTGGCCTTCCTTAAGTATATGTTGCATGCAGTAATCTCCCCCACCTCTTTTTTATTGGTCAAGGGATAGATATTTCATTAATTTCTTTAAAAACATTTATGCATAGACTCTTGGAATACTGTATTACTCTTTTAGGTGTTGATGTGTCAAAAAGCTTTCAGTTGTCTTTTTAAAGACACTTTATAATGGAAGACTTAGAGGAAACTTATCAATATTATAGCTAAAACATGTGACTTTCAAATGTGAGCACATACATATTTATGTATGCAAATGTTTTCCTAGGTGCAAAGTAATGCAAATATGTTCTTGCATATAAGCACATTCATGCACATAGCCATGAATCTTTATACCTCAACTGATAAACATGCAAATCACCTTTTATATATTTTTTTGTTCATTTAAGTTTAAGAATATTTAAACTCCACTTTTTCTCATCTTCTCTGTGATGAAAAGAACCACAAACAAGAGAAAAACCAAAACTAAAAATGACTTTATCAAAATTAGATCAGGATTAAATTTATTGTATTGTTATATGTCAAAGTAATGTGCACACCATTTGGCAATGGTTGGGCATTGAATATCATCACCCACTTCCATCTATCAGGCTAAGACTTGTTCAAAACTTTGTCACACTTTCTCACAATCTTTCTTACTTTGGATGCCAACCCTTCATGTGAAAAGCTGACATGTTCTTAAAATTATTATTATTATTTTAAACTGAACTTTCTCATTGGATGAAAGAGATGGTGGTGTAGGAGAATAAACCACTTGAAGAGTTTAACTGTTGAGATGAAGACCTGATTTTTTTCTTTCTTTCTTTTTCTAATCTTGTTAAGAAAACAGATTTGGGGAGGGCAATACCCCCCACACCCTTGCTTCGCATGCACACACAAGAATGAACTCCCCCCACCCCAATCAGAGGTAGTCAATCCTCTTTGCTACCCAACTGACTGTGCCCTGCTGCCTTCTTGTCTCGTACAAACACATTCTGGACTTGATAAACATCTTAACAACACATGTTGAATGCTTTGAAAAAATTGCACTTGACTTTTTCATGATTTGAGCTTTGCAAAAACGAGACAATTTATCAAGAAAAAGAGGAGAAAATCTTATTCTGTGTACTTTGTGATTGTCAAATCGATTCAAACTATTGGCTCATCGTGAATCCCTTCATCTGTCTCCACCGACACTGATTTGGGAGAAAAAAAACAGTATCCAGTGGATGAGGATGTTCATAATTGACAATTCCTAGCATCAGTGTAAAATATCTATCTGCAGGTAGCTTCCAGTATGGAGACACACACACATATGTTGTACTGGTTGACATTGAAACAGTTTGGCTTCAGGGTAGCTTTCAACCTTCTCTTTATCTGACTACCCTCAGTTACTTTAGCCTATACCTTCTCCTTATGCTAAAGGCCAAGAGTATCATGGGCATGAATCTCTCATTCAACCATTTAGATTTTGACTAGCCTCAGAGATGCTTAACTAAGGGATTTTAGAAACACTTTTGTTTTAGTGTATATACATACAAAAAAGCAGTTTTTATATTTGTTTGTACATATAAATATTGACAGTGATTTTTATGCTTTCTCTGATGTTAAAAATTTGGTTAATCTTTGAATGACAGTCAAGTCTGAGATACAAATATGTCTTATTACTATAAACCTTGTGGCCATGTATACTTTTACTGTTTCAACCATGGAGACACCTATGCAAGTCTCTGTTAACCATTTTAAAGAAATGCATATCTCTTGTTGGGACTTTTCAAAGAAAGTCTATATCTGCTGATTTTGTTTATGAGTCAGGAAGAAAAAAACAATATAATTAATGGATTTATTTTTTAATCTTGCATTTCTTATTAATATAAATGTTATATTTGGGAAACGACATAAAAACACCAACCACACACGTCTTGAGAAAAAGTGTATGGCTCAATAAGAAGCAAAGAATCAATGAAAACTTTCAAGAGTCTTTTCCTTTTACATTTATTGAAGCATAAAATAGTAATATTAATTCAACTTTTGATTATGCAATACAAATGGATTGGAATTTCAAATAACATGAATCATAACTTGAAAAAGATATGAATGTGATTGACCAATGGCTTTTTTAGAAAAAAAAAAAAAAATGATTGGCTGATAACTTGGCATTTGGGTATGGAAACTCTCATG